TGTGTGGGGGGGGGGGGGGGGGAAGACCGGGGTCTCATGAGCAGGCGGGCGGGCGGGAAGGCGGGCAAGCGAGGATGGTTTGCTTTTCCTCTCCAACTCCGGCAGGGGCTGCTCAAGACCGCCGATGACAACAAAGCGGAGCACAGAGGTAATACTAGTGTTTTTTGCGACAGCGCACTTGGACCTTGGGGGCCGAATCCCCCAGAGATGGTTCGGGTCCGGCCCCAGGATCCCAGAAGAACCCAATTCCAAGGGTGAGAAACGAGAAATCGCATCGAGGCATCTGGTGGTATATAAACCAACTGCCCCTTGTCAAGGGATCGCCCTGCGCCATTGACATTGATATTGACGTGACATGGAGCTTCGGATACGTACGGGGAGATTTGCCGTCCTGAGCTACATGGCATCGCATATTACAACTAGGCATCGACACGCAGACAAGCGTCTATACACCAAGTCTAGCCGTCAATTGCTGGCCAATATTGTCTAATCTCGCATGTACTTGAGGAATTTGGGCTATGGCTGAATTACAATTCCTGGTCTAACAAAGCTACTGCCTGTTGGTTGCTTGGCCTCCACGTCTGTCGTCTGTCGTCTGTCGTCTGTCGTCTGTCGTCTGTCGTCTGTCGTCTGTCGTCTGTCGTCTGTCGTCTGTCGTCTGTCGTCTGTCGTCTGTCGTCTGTCGTCTGCCGCCTGTCTCCGCGTCGAGTTCAAGAGAGTTGGGCATTGCACAGAGTACTTTTCTGGGTACCCAGCTGCGTCAGGAATGGCTGGGCGATCGAGAGTCAGAGTTGATTTGATCTCTTTGATATCTGCTCTGTTCAGTTTTCGATTTCCCGAGGACTTGTACTGCGTGCGCGTGGGTGCCGCGCTCCAGTTGGACTCTGCCTCGCGCTCGACCCTAGCGTGAGTCCAACTTGCCATTCTTTGCATGATGGTCAATCACCGTGGCCTCTACGAACTGACCGGCCGCATCATGCGTTGTTGTTGCGTTCACTGTTGTTTCGGTTGTTGGCTTTTTGTTCACCACTTTGGTCTAGGCACACCCGTCCATGAGGAAGTGAGAAGGGGTCTCGCGAGGTGTGATTATGGTCGGTCGTGTGGTCTGCCGTTGTCGGTGGACAGCGCCAACTGGCACCGGGACATTTGAACCGACAGCGCACCGCCGCCACAAGTTCCTTGTAGGGGTCCATGTCAAGCTCCTGTACGAGGTATGTTTCCAGGTCAAAATAAGTTCAATGTCACTCTCCAGTGCTCCATGCTCCATGTCCCGTGCCCCGTTCTGGCTCTACTTGCCGTGGCATGCGTTTCGGTACTAGGTACCAGAGCACTCGCTCTGGACACACCCAGGGCGAGCCGCCACTGACAACCATACTTTGACCAAGCGAGGCGTTCTTGTTGATGCCAATTGATGTCGAGTCAAGTCCAATGGCGCGCCCAATGCCTGCCAGACAAGCCCTAGACCACTGCACTGGACTGGTACGTTGGCCGACTTGGACAGCCCAGGCCCCGGATGCCGTGTCCAATCCATGTTCAAGCCCAGTGCAGCACTGGAGCATCAACTCCAAAACAACTCTTGAAGCTACCCAGGTGGTGTAGGCACTTGGCCACCCGGCCGGCCTTTCTCGCCGTCGATTGTGGCGCTCAATGTCTGTCGTTTGCCCACACACCCACTTGCATCAGGTGCAGCATCATTGATCCCAGCAGGCGCGTGGGCAAGACCAGAGTGCGCCTTCCACAGTTGGCGTCAGCCGCCGGCTGCCACTGCCAATCCGCAAGTGCCCGCCAGGTCAAGGCCTGGGGGTGCCCTTCGCTGCGCTTCGCCGCCCTTCCCCAGTGAACAGGAGCTGCCTTCACGCCAAACTCGGCGACACAAGAGGTCAACTGGCTTCTGGCCCTCCGGGACTCCGCAAGTCATCTGGGCCCTATGCCTGCCTGTCGTTGTCAAAGTCTGTTTACCTAGGCAGGTAGGTATGTTTGGCCTCTGGTCAAACCCAACTTGAACTCGGCCTTGTCCCCAGGTAACCACGCACACACTTTGAGCGCACACATGTGCATCAACTCACGAACACACACGCCTCTTCGTCTCTCACGCACACCTCTCGCGCCCTGACGAGACAACAGACTACCGCCCAAACCTCACCAATAAGTATTAATAAGGCGTCATTCCCGGCCGGTTTCTACTTTATATTTTGTTCCAGTCTTCACCATCACATGCTCTTTTAAAGACGGACGGCCTTATTCTACCAACATTTTAGCATACCAGACACAACCCATATCCCATATCCCGCTACTCTGCCCCTTGCGGCCTTCGGCCTCTCTCTCGTTGTCCCTTTCTTCTTCTTGATCTATTCCGCCTCTTGGCTCAGTGCTTGGGAACTCTCTCTGCACATTGATTGCAGACAAAAAACAAGCCCTTCTTCATACCAATTCCGTGTCTCAGAATACCTCACATCCCTGGCTACAGCTTCATGAGGGCACGCCAGAACAAAGCAATCCGTGTCACATACTCCCATACTGTTTGAGGAGAGGAAAACGAACCAGGAGTTTCATTAGCGAAGAATCGCCGTTGTATCGTCTAGAAATCACAACAGACTTACAGGCTTCCGCTCACACTCCGCCATTTGTGCCGTGCAAGTCTCTTACTTGCTTCATTTCTACCAATTCAGTCCGACGCCCGTTTATTGAGTCAACTCCACAACTTCACTCCAATTGGAGTCGTCAGCATTGTCATATCCATGTAAGTGGTTTTATGCTTCTTGTTCCAACTCCAATCCTTACATTCTCGCACACTTGCTTCTCTCTTGAACCCTCGGGGGCCAAGTTTCTGTATCAATTCGAACTTAAACTCGGCACTGGGCGTCTCATGATGCAGCCATGTTGCCAAAGTCTCTCTGTCGGAGCCAGGCATGTCGTCCAACTCAACCCTTGACTTTGCACTTCATGTCCTGTGGGGGCTCTCACGCACAGGACATTCTCCCTCACACCTTCCGCTACATTGTCACTCTTTCCTCCTCTTTGTTTGTCGTGTCACCAAAAAATAAGCTGCGGGTAGAGTTGCTTTGGAGAGATTCTTTTGGTTCTCTTTCCCAGTCCTCTGCAGATAATCCGATAATCCTGTTACATGTCTCTAGTCTAGAAGCCATGGCCTCTCACACGGACATCTCAGGGGCAGTCTGCTTTTTTCTTTTTACCTCCCCCCCAATATGCTGTCATTCTTCTCGGCATGAACAGTTACTTGCCTTTTACCTTGATGATGTCTCTAACATTTGGGTTACTATGCTGTTAGACAACTCGTCAGACCACGAAACCAAGTTATTTAGAACGGTTAGACCGCAATCAAGTGTCCCCGACAAAGCCTAGGGCCCCAGCCAAAAATTACGTCTGAGTGCCTCCCGCCGGACTCTCGCGTTGTCTCAGGGCCAGCTCTGCTCGGGCAGCGCGGCCAAGATGTCCAACGATTCGTATGGCCCCTCAAAACTCTTGGTGCTACTTTAATTCAGGTAACCATAACTAACAATACCTTTCCAGAGTCCAACCAACGCCAGTACTTGCCGTCTTTCCAGCGTATGGACGATATTATGGATTATGGCGACAGGAGAAATATCTATTTCCGATCGATGCGGTATGTTAGCTGCCTCATGCTCGTATGTTTACTCCTTAATTCCTGACTAGATTATTTAGGAAGAAACTAATAGGATGGATATGTTTCACCAATTCTTTCTGGTTGCCCGACATGATGCCCTTTATTTGCCTAACCTGCCCGTTACCCGATCGCTTCGAATCATGGATCTAGGCACAGGAACCGGTATCTGGGCCAATCATGTTGCGGAAAGGTCAGCTAGGTGTTTCTATTCGAGTTTTCTATGTTCTCATCGTGTAGCAGAACCAATCCCGAGCCGGAGATCATGGCTGTAGACCTTCATAAAATTCAAGCCGAGAAGTACGTACCAACCTTTTGTGCTATGGCAGCCTAACAGCTAATCTGGAGAAGAATTCCCCCCGGAGTGACGGCTGTGCAGTTTGACATTGAAGATCCATGTTGGGGCCCGTTGATGAAACATTGCGATTTAGTGCATCTTCGAATGCTTTTTGGGAGCGTGCACCCTCCCCTGTGGTCGCAAATCTACCGCAACATACATAAGTAAGAAAAAAAAGCCATTTCCTCGTAATACCTAGTTCTCTGTTCGGTATAACTCACAATGTTGCAGTCACCTGCTCCCTGGGTCGGGGTATCTGGAGCATGTTGAGATCGACTGGGTACCTCGTTGGGATGAAGGGGATGGAGGCGAGATCCCAGTGCGATCAGCTCTCGAGGAGTGGTCAACCCTTTTTTTTACGGCTTTAGAAAGGCTTGGCCGCAATGCCAGAATCGACCGAGCTGCGATTCGAAAGACAATTGAGGATGCTGGATTTACCGATTTCAAGGAGGAAACTATTCGTGGTTACATGGGACCCTGGATGCCCGACAAAAATGAGCAGATTGCTGCAAAATGGCTCAACCTTTGCTTTTCTCGTGGGGTCGAAGCCATGAGTTTGATGCCTATGATTAAAGGATTGGGCATGGACATGGGCGAAGTTAGTCGCCTATGTGAGAGAGCCGTCAAAGAGACTTTGCAGCTGCGCTTTCACACCTACTTTAATGTGTAAGTTCTCTGTTAATGCATTGACAAAGGAGCCAAGTCGAGACGATACTAATGAACATGGGCTTACCCAGGCATATTTGGTCTGCACGAAGACCGTCAATTGACCAAGTTGGCATTGCGGCATCACACGACCAAGTTTTGATTGCCCCGCGTTGTTAGGACCTTAATAGGAGCAGATGTAAACGAGGGAGCTGCATAAAGCAGCCTTTCGTCGAAACTTCATACGACGAAACACAAAGCAGCATGCACTACAGCAATTACAATTACAGATGCTCACTTCCTGTGTGACGGAATTAACATTCCGAGGCCCATTTTGGTTTCAACGTATTCATTTTGACCGCCCTTTATTTTTTTGTTATTATCAATGAGCTATGGGTGGACCTTTGGTGAAGGGCACCGATGCAGATCCCAGTCAAGCAAGCGATCGTGCAGCATATGATGCCCCATTTTTCTTTTAATGTTAATAATATTATTACATTGTTTAAACTGCGCTTCTATCGTGATGTGGCTACCAGCAATCATCCGTCCTTGGAACAAGGGTCGGTTTGCAAAGCCCGCAAGGCAGCTATCAACGAACAAGCAAATATTACATGCACATGAGCTACAAATACTACTTTTCTAAGCATGTGGACGGCTTTGGAGAGCGAATTATAGTACGTGCTTTTGTTGGTTATTTGGGCAACAGAGCAGAGTAGGGCTGCCTAGCTAAACTCGCCACCTGGTCGCCCAAGGATATACCAACGGCCCATCATTGGTTCCAGTCTATTGAGCGTGAAGGCCTCAAGCAGTCGCCAGTCGACATTGCTTATGCACCCTGGACTGTTTCGCTGCGACTAAACGCCAGATATGTGTATCTGGTGCCGAAAATTCAGGTGATTTGGAAGCATTTTCGTCAGGGGTAGCATGAAATTTGAGACTTTGGTCGAAGAAGAGCATCAGGTGGCCATCAATTACCTGGAATCCAGGGGGCCGAGTCAGAGCCACAACTCAGACACAAAGCGGCAGAAGGACGGAACAAAGACAAAAGAACGGCAAATGCAAGAACTAGCCCATTGACCAAGGGCCGAATGTACCATGGGCTCAAGAAGGAGTGTAAATGCGACTAATCTCGTGGCGTTCAGCTTCGCACACTTGACTGGCATCTTTTTTTTTTTTTTTTTTTTTTTTTTTTTTTTTTTTTTTTTTTTTTTTTTTTTTTTTTTTTTTTTTTTTTTTTTTTTTGATTTTTGATTTTCTTGGCCGGTATTTTGAGCGCATGTGTCTGCTACATGGCAGATTCTAGAGCTGGATCGTTGAGGACAAGGGAGTGGCAGCGTACAGGTAAAGCGGATTTGATTCCGGGCCCAAGTCGAGATGTAGCATTGTGATGGCAGGGTGGCAGGCAGGCGTTGTGACGGTGGGTCAAGGTTTGGGAGTTTGATCGGTTATTCCTGGCTCCCAGAGGGTTCCAGAGGGACTCATTTGCCGCCAGATGAATGGCTTGAGGCGTCGTATGACAGTCGGCCGCCTTGTGCCGTGGACCGTGGTACAATGGACGCCCGCCCTACTTACTGCTCGACCAGGGTCAGAAGCCAGCAACAGGCTGCAGGACACGGAGTAATGTCAGCACCGAACCTTTGCAAAATCTGGTGTCGAGGTCTGTTGCGTACGACCGGTGTTGAGCCAGACAATCACGTGCCGCGTCTGCAGTTGATCAAGTGCCGAGACGCAGATGCCGATAGGGCCTTGCCCGAGACCTCACTTTACCTGCAACGTTTCCATTGCTAGACGGCTGTGGCATGTGGAGGACCGCCGGGCACAAGTGTGACTAGTTCAAAGGCCGCGTCGTATTGTCAGGAGTAGAGGAGTAGGCAACAGAAGCTTGAATAGCGCACATATTGTCAGGCTTCGGCGCCCGTTAATCTTGGAGGAGACATGCCAGCCATGGCAGAACAGTTTGGATCATGTTTGGGGCCTGTCCTGGGCTTGACGGGGCGAATGTTTGATTTTGCGTCGGGGGGCATTTCCGTATGATGGGAGCTCGAGGCTATATATATACGGAGTATCTTGAATAATATACGTACCAACGGGTAGGAGTCTGCCAATGGGCGGTTTGTTGGTTTGAGCGGTGGCGTGCCTACTGGGTACGGGTACCTCTATGTGCTCCGTGTTCGGGTGGCGCCTATCATGTCAACTTTCTTGTCTGGCTCTTTTTGACTGCCCGCCAGCCAACCTACGTAAGTACCAGTTGACCCGGGTACTTGGGTAGGTGCGAGGCCTGTGCGGCAGCGAATTGGCACCCCTTGCTTCCCTGATTCAACGTCGAGTTTGCACGCCGGCTTCTTCACACGCTGCCTACCCAAAGTAGGTAGTATCCCTAGTATTCTGGAAGGAATACGGCTCCAGGCTGCTGCGCCACTGGGAAATATTGGACCGTCTGTTGGAATCGTGTAGTTGCCGGACGCGGCATCAACACGTCAACTCTACTACGTAAACTCGAGTGCATCCACGGACAATGCAGTCACAGCAAGAGGGCATGTCCTTGATACCATCATATCAGTTCCTGTTGATTGCCACGCCGGACGGAAACCGCCGTGGTAATGATGATGCGTCTGATGTACAATATGACAAAAGAAAAGAGCCCCAATCACACTGGTGTTTGTCGCTGCCGTCGGATCCCCCCAAGGCCGGGCAGCAAATGAAAACGGACACGCCCAAACTATTCGTCCCGTCCACAGGGACAGCAAAGAGGCAGCCTCGACCAACGAATTATCCTCGCGTCTATTTTGTTCCCCTCGCCCATCTCTATCTCGGCTTCTTTTTGCGCTCGTGTGCCCGCCTTTCCTGAGCCTTCCCTGGCTGCACGCTAGAGAGAAGACTGTCGGATCCTCCCCCACCCCCAATTTGTTGTTCGCCGTCATGCAGGCGTGCTCTGCTTAATGGTGCGAGGCGGTCTCACCGTGGTATCCGACAATCTTGAAGCGGCCAATCATCTCGCCGACGGTGAAGAAACCAAGACATTCGGCGGCAACGACACCGGCGGTGGCGAGCTGGGCGTTGCTGAGGTTGCGGGCCTGCTGGAGGATGTTCTGGGGCGACTGGAAGAGGGTGCCGCGCCGGAAGGATCGCCAGAGGGTCTGGTAGGTGTTTTGGAAAGTGGCAACGGAGCTGCATTGCATTCGGTGTTAGGCGTCTTCGCTCAATGGCATGCTTGGGCAGAGGGGAAAGGATGCATGGCTACGTACGGAGGGCTCATCTTCTGGCCCTGGAAGACCAGCTTGGCAACCTCGGCGCCGACCTTGGAGTAGTAGACAACGAAGGGGGTTTGGCCTGGCAAGGACGTTAGCATCGAAACAAACACCCCAATGGCATCGAACGGTACTCATGGAAGAAAAAAAAAAGATGCGCTGAAAGGGCGAAAGACTCACGCTCAATAAAGGCAATCAGACGTCCGGTACGGCCGCCAATCTTGCCCAGAGCATTGCCAACGCCTCTGGCAGCGCCGGCAATGGCAGGACCGGCGGCGCTGGTGACGCGTGACAAGCCCTGCTGGGCCTTGGAGGCGGTTTCCTTGGCGGCTTCGCTGGCCTTGCTGGCGGCGGTGCTCTCGAAGCGGCGAGATGCCATCCGCAGAGCCGGCGAACGGATCATGGAGCGAGCGAGCGACATGGCCATGGTGTCGGGTTGTGTGGTGCGGTGCGGCGCGGTCGGCAGAGACGAGAGACGAGAGGACCTGCTCGCAGAGTCGGGGATGAGACGACGAGATGCCTTCCGGTGCGGATTGATGCGCTGCGGGAGCAATTGACGGCGGTTTGGGGCGTTCGTGGTCGGCTGTTTCTGGCTGAGGGAGAAAAAAAGCTCGGGAGAATTCGTGAGCTGGTTTCCTGGGCCGATTGGATTGGATGGTTCGTGGTTGGTCGGCGCTAGGCTGTTTTCGGATGCGTCTTGGCCAGGCACATGTTCCTGAATCCCGACTCCTGAGCGTCGTGGTGCAAGCAAACGGTTGACTCTGCCGTTATTAAAGCCCGAGAACGCGTGTTTCTAGTCGTTGTGGAGTAGCGCTGTGGGATGCGCGATGCGAATGATGTTTCATCTCCAAGTCAATGCATTCTGTAATACGAAAGGGAAACACGCCATCTCAACCCGACCTTGCCCATCCCCCTTAAATCGACACTTTTTCAACGCCGTGCTCTGAAAATCCTACGAGTGGCGCTATATTTGATCCGTTATCGCCGGAAGGGACATTCAAACTTTGTTGACAATATTTCAGTGCCCATCTATCTACTCATCATGTTCCAACATCCTCTGTCACAACGGGGATGGGAACGTTTTGCGTCCCTTTTTTTGTGCCAAAGAATTTCATGGAGACTATCGTTGGCGGGGATGCTCGACCCCGAGATACATTTACTAGAGTCTGGTTCTCTGTTGCCAGCCTTCCGAGCTACCAAAAGCGCTGTTGTCCGTCAATGTAAACGCAATTGTTCTGCTCCACATCCTTTCAAACACCAAAACGTATTATGCTTATCTTTTAAATGTTCTCATGCTGCATCTCCTGTACGTCAGTGCTTTACAGCTATGTACGCTCCCATTTCGGAAGTCACCCTCACTTCAGAATACGCCATAGCCTCTACTTTACAATGGATACAAATAGCTTCGCCAACGACGCGTCTAATCGAAACTCTGAATCTGTACCTTGATAGCCCCGCTCTTGGGGTCTGCCGACGTCTCAAAGGCCTTCACGGCATCTTCAAGGGGAAACCTATGCGTCACCAACCTCGACAAATCAATGACACCGCTTTCCACCAGGCGAATGGCCCGAGGCCAAGTGTTGCTGTACCGGTATTGCAGCTGAATGTCGACTTCACGCACGCTGGCGCGCATGAATGGAATGTTGATTTCGTTCTTTCCAACACCAATGATGAACACCTTGCCGCCAAACTTGGTTGCCCAGATGGCGGCACCGATGCTGCTCTCGACACCGGTGCACTCCATGGTCAGGGCGGGCTCGACTCCTTTGAATGTTTTCACAATGGCCTTTGCCGTGTCCTCGGCAGAGCCGGGTTCGATCTTGTGAGTAATTACTCGGGGGCACAGCTCCTTGGCAAAAGCGAGTCTGCTCTCTGATATGTCCGTGATGACGAGGGGGCTAGCACCACCGGCGGCGCAACACAGCATGGTAACCAGGCCGATTGGGCCGGCACCACAGACCAGGACTGCGTCTCCGAGCTGCATCTTGGCTCGCTGCATGCCGGCAAGGGCTACACTCAAGGGCTCGAGAAGTGAGCCGTTCTCATACGACATGTCGCCAATCTTGTGGCACCAGACAGCCGGGTGGTTGACGTATCGGCGTAGAAGCCCCGGCACGGGAGGAGTGGACAAGAATGCGACTTTCTCACAGCCGTTGTAGTGCCCCGTCAAGCAGGGTTCGCAAGCATTGCAGATGATGTTGGGCTCAACTGCCACGCGGTCCCCGACCTTCAAGTTTGTGACGGACGGGTGCACCGCGATGACATCGCCAGCAGATTCATGACCCAGGATGTGGTCTCCTTCCACAATCATGGGGCCGATACAGCCAGCGTGCCAAAAGTGAACATCAGAGCTGGTTCCATTTGGTCAGGACGCACCTTTTCTGTCAAGGAAAACAAAGAAGACGGAGGAAATGCAAGCTCACCCGCAAATACCGGTACTTCGAATAGCAACTGTCACCTCACCGAGTTTCAAGTCCGAGCCGGCGGAAACACTCTCAGCGGTAGGCTCGGCCTTGCTAATCCACAAGTCATGCTTTGGATTCGTATAAACACCAATATTTGGCTTCAGAGAAAGGCCGGTGGCTGCGGGGGCCATTTCAAGGTGAGCAAGATGGAATAGTCGAAAGGATGGATGGGGTGTTGAAACAGAGTGCTTGGCCTAAGGATGAAGAAAGTGCCTGGCTCTTATACTCGCCTGAACCCTTCTGCCGGCACAAGACGACAGCCTGCAAAGACGAACATCGATGTAGAACAGCATTTCCGAGAAGGCGCCTTAGCTTGATCCCAGAGTGAAGCTCGGGCAAATCGCCGGTACTCCCCGCTCGAAGTTGAAGCGGGTTGAAGTGCCACGCCTCGGTGGACCCCCTCCACAAAGCTCTTGCCCTCTAGGAACCTCGACGAGCCAACTACGCCAGAGGTCCAGCTGCCGCGCCAATCACGGCTCAATGACAGCTCCGATCCGAACAAAAGGGAACAAGGTCATTCGTCATGGCTTGACCGGTTGCAAGACACGGGCGCGACCCGGCTGTCACGAGACCCCTTTTTTCCTGCTTCTAGAGGAATCCATGCCGAATATCGCAGTCGGAGATGAAGCCGTCGTGAAAACAACGACAGTTCGGGCATGTTGTGCAACAAGCCGCGACAGGTCGACTGGTTTGGCACAGCATCCGGCGAGCGCCCATCCATCCCGTCGCTCGAATCCAGCCCATCTGCAGGACCGGTCGACAGAGAACCAACCCCATAGGGAAAAAGATAGGCCGCAAGGAAGAGCCACGTTCCGGCAGGGTAGGACGAGGCGACAGCTGTCCTGACGGGGATGGGGCAGTGTCCGCCTGATCATCACGGCTAACCGAAAAACCCGCGTCTGCTGCAGTGAAACTTCCCGACAGAAAGCAATATTTACACACTTCATCTATCGATTGGTAAATTCGCAGCTTTTGGGATATGAAACTCTGCCCATCGTTATAGCCGCTCCAATGGGATATTCTACCGCCGCACCGTCTAGGCGTTGCATAGTCACTGCAGAGATCCACCCGATCGAAGGGTCCTAAAGCCTGCCCGTTGGTCCAAAGAGTCTTGCGGGTCTATCATACACATGACGAAAAGGGTTGAGCTGGCGTGCAGATGCAGCTAGATGACACGAAGAGTTGTGGCCGATCTTGCAAGCTTATACGGAGTAGGCGCGGTGATACACCTCTTGTACAATCAATGCCTGACAGCGAATCATGCAGAATAAATCTTCTGACAAAATATACTTGCCTTTTGCTAACTATATGCAAGCGGTCCCCGATTTTACAATACTGCACAGGATATACCATTGTCTTGTTGTGTAGTCTTCAACCTTTTGACCAATGCTTCAGGAGTAAATGGAAAAGACAGCAATTATTGAACAACCACCAGAGTGGTGCCTGTTACATAAAGGACTTTACAGTCAATCCTCTTAAATTACAATGCATCATCAGCTAATTTTCAAGGTGCAAAAGTAGGATGCATAGACTACCCTAGACATTGATGCGGTCTCGACAACCTGGCGTAGATATAAACGCCCGTGGTATGGACTCTGCTGGCCAGACAGCACCCCATATTGCGGTGCGGTATAAGTGATATGGATGACGTGCAGGTCTTGATTGAGCTTTGGGGTGATGCTTTTGCCAAGTATAACATCTGGTAAGCAGCGTTGCGTATCCCCGCCACGAATAGGGATGTTGATGTAGTCTCCTGCTTACTTGATCATGGGTGGTGGTCATTTTACTTGTATATAGGCCACAGCCCCTAGTAGCCAGGACGATATGGTGAATTTTGCTGAAAAGGTGTATAAGCTTGATTCCGGTCATTTTGCGACTTCCATGACCCCCCGCAACCGCTGTCACTGGTCAGGTAGCAATATTTGACTCGACAAGGTAAGGGTTTCCTATCCTGGCATAATATGTAAGGGAAGAGACTGTATTATCCATGGATGTGCTAAAGGGTCACTTCTCATGGAGCCGAGTATCTCTTTCTGCAAAGCGCCAACTCAAGGCTTATGAATTGTAACACAATAGCTGTTCTCGTTAGCGTCGAGCAAGACTATCATGGTGATGCGACGGATGACTTTGACCATTGCCGCTGGGATTTCGCTCGACTGCTATTTACAGAAGAAGCTCCCTGCGGTTCCTTCGGACCGGAAAAAAGCAGCCTTCTGGTGCTGTCAATTTCCCAGCTACGCCACCAATCTGGGCAAATACTGACCCTGCTCCGCCCATCGCATACAGATACTTTTTTTTGGGCCCTGGGAACAAGTGAATCATCTCTTTTTGCCCTCCATGGTGGAAGGAGATCTGATATTGATTGTGAGCCACCAGAACCAGAGGGAGGAGATAATATGCATACTGGCGCGGGTAACCAAACACATTTCAGGATGCTGCACCTCATCACTCGCAGTCTTGGCATAACGTGACTGTGTAACCGACTCACTCTGTATCTTACAAAACAGCCCGGATAGCTGATATAAGACACGTACGCCAGGCGCCATGTTATGCTATCCATCCGTTGATGACGCAGATGGACAAGGCGGACTGTGTACTCGTTATGACGACTGGGAGTATTTGAGTGCTTTGTTCAGCAGAGCTGGGATCGAAACGTGTTCTGATACCCAGTTGGGCCCGCCTTGGTCGCATTTACAAAAAGCCCATATTATTCGCCAAGTACTGGGTACCTAGGAACGAGCGGCCGACCCAACGAAACGGGCCGACTTGGCCACCTCGTGGCCTATATTAGTCGCTTAGCTATTAGGTACCCAGTACCTTTGGCTATTTCCAACGTAAAGGAGAGATGCTAGCACCAGCCCGGCCGCCCGGCCAACACCACCACGCTCGGCAACACCCGAACCAAGCTGCCTCGCACCCAGCCATCATCCGCAGGAAATTAACCCCCCTGGCCAAACGACATCAACAATCACATTCCTATCCACCTGATCCCATCAGCTGGGAAATGCCCAAGCTCGTCAGCCGGGCGCTTCCCGAAGCTGACTGTTCAGGAAAAAGAAACGAGGCCGCATGCGTATCTCAACCCACACGATGATGTCTTGCACACGGCATTCTCCCGCTGCGTCATGCAGCCGAGCATGGCAGAGCATGACAAGAGAATGCCTCCTCCACATGCAGGGGAACGCTTTCTTTCTCCCACCGGCGACAAAGCAGGAAGCATGGGTCCCATTACGTGACGGCACAGTCCACAAGCCATCGCGTTGTGTGCCCTGTGCTCTCGATGCGTTCAAGAGTTCCACACCCAGAATATACTCTTTTTTGCATTCTCGACCAGCGGAAAGGCCTCGGACACGCTTTACGATTATCCTGTCTGTCTGTTTTGTGTGTGCCCGTTCCCCTCAAATCGTATTCGGTGCTGCCAACGCGCATCACCGACGGCCGGGAGCCCGCCAAGACCAATGACCTCATTCTTGTATCCCATCGCTAGATAAGAAGCCGTACTACGTATTCCTCCTGATGCAACCTGGTACTACGATGTTGTCTAGTGCAGGGATCTCTAACCGTCCGCGGAATGGCCCCGACGCTGGGCCAGAGGTGGAGAGGCTACTGGGCTAAACAGGCAATTTTGGATGGATACCAATGTGCAAAGCTCAGCTGGAGTCACGGAGAGGAACAAGATATGCCAGAGTCTTGTGTTGACAGTTCGTATTCAACGAGTCCCTTCATTCCATAGAAGGACCGCCCGTTGATTTTACCTAACGACTAGGTCAACTTGCTGCGAGTTGATCTCAGACTTGAAACCATTGACTCTGTAGGCGATGCTTGTAGAGCCCACTGAAGAGCAACACAGAGTAGCCTGTAAGCCCTATTCGTAACATTCGTAAAATTGCAGATATTCTGCACCAATGCATATCCCAGGTTTCCGTACAGTGAAGGGGAATAAAACACAAAAAATAGCCGGGCTCTCTGTCAGTCCTATTCCGTACCTGCTGGGTGAGCCCAACCGAGTCTTTGCTCCAAAACCAGGGAACAAAATTCAAAGTTTTTTTTTGTATCAAACGCCGATGAATTATAGAAACGAAAAAGAAAATTCCGAGTGTCTGCTCGGTGCCGTCGACGGTTTTGACTGATTCTGCTTGAAGCCTACTCCCCGACGGAGATGACCACCCCGCGCCTGCATTTTCCATATGAACAGCATTCCTCAGGTTCCATTCTGCCGTCGAGGATAGCATCGACCTTTGACTACAGAACGCATTAGGAGACAAGTTTTGCCATACAAAGCATGAAAGCCTGGCCTAGGTACTCACGTCTGGGCATGGGCCAGAAGGACCGATGGGGGCTGCAATGACAATCATGACAGGCGAGGACACGATGGCGGCTGCTAGAAGAGATGGAAACTTCATAGTTGCTGATATGTAGAGAAGAATGATTTGTCGATGAAATGTGAAATGCGTCAAAAGATGTAGTCTCTGATATGGGAAAATGTTTGGCGGCGCGCGTTTTTGCTAAAGGGAACCGAGTTTCCGAAGTGAGGGCTGAAAGTAACCGAATATAAAGACCGGCAGGCAAAAGTTGCCAGGCAAACAATGGAAAATCTACCCAAAGTCGAGGGGAGGACTGCAACCGAGGAGGTCAAAGCGAGGAAAGAGTGAGCGTCGACCTCTAACAAACTTGCGGGGTGAGGGCCGTGAACCTGGGAGGATCCGATCGTACTTATGTGCAGACACTTGGACAATTGGAGCGCGGGAGGCCGAGCGGCCGAGGGCATAAACCCAGCTGGTGGTGCAGATATTTAGACCGGGGTTGCAGCGTCCTGCGAATGCAGCCCCGGCAGGCGAGGATCCACGATGCTCTCTCTCGGGACAGAGTCTGTCGAGTGAAAAGCTCGGACGACGCCGCCGATTGCGGGGCTTTGCGTTCCACGCAGTGACCAAGACGACTAGACGGCAGGGTTGCGCATTCGCGAGGCACAATGGAGCACAGAAAATACAAGTGCTTCGTGAGTCGTGAGAGGGCAGTGCTACCGAGGCTTCAACCTTCGAGATGTGAAGACTGGATCTTGTACAAACGGCCGTACCAGTAGCCTAGGCTGCAAAGGGATTGGCGCGGGGGAAGGATTGGAATGTTGGTGCCCTGAGATCGGGTGGTTGGCCGCCATGCACGCTGAGCATGGTAAGCAGGGCGCGCAGGGCAGGCAGGGGTCGATGGTGCCGGGACCCGCTCCTTCCAGAGATGTGGCTTGGCCTTTGTGCATTACTGTGAATTGCGCTGTCTTGGGCTAGCGCGGAAATCAGCTCGCCAATGACGGGGTGCCGTCCGAAACCGCATTGTTTTCTGCTCCCCCATTATGTATGTGAGTCGTGGCTTCCCGATTCCGCCATGTCCAGTCCCATGATGGATGCGCTGCGGATCGGCGGATCACTCTGGCATATAATCATGCATCAGAGGATCTTTTGCCGGACCAGGAACCCTCATGGTGTCAAGTTTCATGTTTCGCTGTCTACAACAAACGTACAGAGTATCCAATATTCCAATGACTCAAGTTATCAGCAAAGTCTGCTTCCGTTGCTCCCAAGTCAGCCATTTCGGCTACCAGTTCGTATAACCACGGCAAAGCCTCGTTGATAGCGGTACTTGCACTCTGTGTTTTGTATCCTTGGCCACATCTTCTGAATCCGGAACAACTTGGGTTGTATTCAGCGTCTGCGACGTGTGATGTGCGACTTCACTCTCGCTTACTTTCTAGCTGCCGTCATACAAAGCGTTTGCCTCTCGAACAGTCCAAGACATTCATCTCTGTTGGAGCTGTGTATTCGGTTTTGCCGTCATTCGCTTTAGTACCCGAGTATACTCCGTGTGTCGCGGGGGCCCATTACAGCCTGCTCCTTCCATTACGAACGGAGGATGGATGGCTTTCAGCGGCAACAACGTGAAGTCGACAACCACCACGACACGACATGACACGACTCATCACTTCGATGGCTGCCACTTATCGTCACCCTGTCTCAGAGTCGTTCATTGCACGACACCCCATGCCTCGACTCCAATCCCGCCCAGGATCACATGCTGTGAGCTCCCTTGATCGACAACCGCAACATCGCCAGGATCCGCCACACCGCTACTGATGCAACTCGCCAGTGTAACTCTTTGGGGATTGCTCTTTGCGATTCGCCAAATGTTGATACGATGGTCGTTGCTGACGCTTACGACGACGAGGTCGGAGCTGCCGTCAGCTTGACCCTGTGCCAGCAGTGCAACACCGTTGACTGATGCTGCGTGGGCGCTGCGAACGATTCCACGACCAGCAAACCGGTACTCCGTATGACCAGCATCGTCTCGGACCGCGGCAACTTTTGTAAATCCAAGGCCGTTATCATCACCCCCCGTCAATATATGAAAGATGTCGTTCTGTCTGACCATATCAAGGCTTTTGATGCTGCTCTGGTGTACTTGAGCAGCAGCCTGCAGCGTGAGGCTGCCCAAGGCAGATGATCCCGCTCCGGTCTTCCACAAAGCCATGTGTCCATCCGTAGACGTCGTCAACATCCAAAGATTTTCATCCCTCTGACCAAGATGCCTCAATTGCGTGATACATGCGCCGGTATAGAGTCCAGCCGCGAGCAACTTGAAGCTACCATCTGTGCCATACTCATAAGTCTTGAGCGTTGAATTAGAAAAGGCCAGCGTAATGACCATCCTTTTTTCATCCACCGCCCTCGAAACATCAAAACCCATGATGCGCAAGTCCCTAGTCGGACTCTTATCCGCAAATCTCCCCTCACAAACAACAGCAAGACCCGCAAACGCAGAATCCAAGGTCCGAACGCGCCACACAAAAAACTCCTCATTCCCGGCACTACTAAGAAGGTAGTCGTCTTCAAACCAGTGCAGTTTCTGGATTCCCGTGATATGGGCCTTTAAACATGCCAAGTACCGCATCGCTGACCCCCTTTCTTTCTTCTCATCCGCAGCAACATATTCCCATATCCTGATCGAGGTATCTTCTGCCCCCGATGCAACATACCGCTTGTTCGAGCTCAGCGCGCGAATCTCACGGCCGTGCGTGCCGGACTTTACGGTACGATACGGCACACGAGCCTGTGAGTAGATGGATAGCTTGGATGTCCGGGTATACGCGAATCTGTATAGTTCCGGTTGTTCCGCGCTGTAATTGAGACGGAATGTGCGGTGGGCACCGCCGCAGTTGATCGTTGCCAGTTCTTCTCTCGTAGATTCGTTCCAGATTACAAAGTCTCTGCTTCTGAATCCGTAGAGAAGAAGTTCCGGGGTAGGTGTGTTTGAAAACCACGCTCCCTCTATCATGGGTCCAAAGGGGGGGCTCGTCTCGTGTACAAGGGCAAGGGCGGCAGTGGCGGCGTCGGTCCGTCGGATTTGGTATATTCTGTATTTGCCGTCGCGGCTGGTGGCGAGGACGTGTCGCGAGTCTGACGAGGGGTTCCGGCTAGGCGGGATGGGAACGATGGACGTGATTGCGTCGCGGCTGCGTGTTGCTAGATCCAGAACCGGGTGCCATGCGTCGTCTCTTTGAACGAGGATAGACATCCATCCGTGGCGGGAGCCGACCAGGAGCAGGTCATCCAGTCTCGTGGCGGAGATGGCGACGAACCGGACGTCCAGACCTGTGATTTGGCGTTCCGAAAGAAGGCGTCCTGCGGGTGAGAGGGTCAAGTACCGTGATGCCGGGGACCCGTGGAGATGAACCAGCAGCTCGATGGTGTCGGCGGTGCTTGCGAGCTGGTTGATTTCCACGATTCTCCCCGGAACGCTCCCTACCGGCCTGACCTGGCGAGCCTGGAAGAAGAAAATCCTGCCACTGGTGGTTCCTATTACCGCTGCGCCGTGGCCGATTTTCCGCAGGACGTAGCACGACCTCAGGTCCGGCGCGACATCTTCACCAACACCGACTTGTTCCCACGAGTGGGTTCCAGACAATGAACCCAGAAACAATCTACCGGCATTTGTGATGACGAGCATGGTGTCGTCGAGAATAAAGTCGTACCGACTTATCACTTCACGCGCACTAGACGAGTCCGACAACGACTGTAGCAGATGTGGTACATCTATTGTAGTCAGCTGGGCGCCAGCCTCTCCAACAGCGGCCGCCTCCTCAATGAAGCTGATTCTGCCATCTGCGCCGCCGGTGACGATGCGAATCCAGCCGTCCCGGATGTCCAGCGCCCGCGCCCAAAGATGCTTGCCGTCGTGAAGCGAGTGCGTCTGCCGGTGGGAAATCGTGCCCGACAGCGACGGGTCCAGAGACAATTCCCACCGCTGGGCGGTAGAGTCCTCCCCAAAGGAATACATGGGCAGTCGGCCATCCCGGACGACGTGTCCCTCTTCGACGCCGAATTTGACGCCCCAGATGCGCGAGGCGTGGCCCATTGCCACCGCGACAGGGCCGACTTGTCCGTCTACACAGGCGGTCTGCACCTCGTCATAGCTCTCGGCAGCTTTGAAGCCGGTTTCCGTAACACAGTCCAGCGTAGATTCATGCGGTCCCTCATGCTTGCTTATATCCCACACTCTTATTGTCCTGTCGTCGCTGCAACTGGCGAGGAGACGAGCCGTCGATCCATTCGGTAGCGCCAGCTCTGGCGAAATGTCTACCCCGTAGATGGATCCCTCGTGGCCACGGAGCACAAAGAGCATGGTGTGAGAGGCAGTTTCCGCGTGGTACTTCCAAACGATGACGTTGCCGAATACCGTTCCTGCTGCCACCAGGACGCCCGTGGGCGATATCCATCGTAGATGGGAGGCGTAGAGCATCGGTCTCGAGGGGGAGGTCACGTCGCCCGTGGTGAGGGTGCGGGCGTCAGGGTGGTACGTCACTAGAACGACTTCATTGTGAGCGGTCGCCAGAACCGCCATGGACGAGTCCCACGGGGATACGGCCGCGTCGTAGATCCAGTCTGGCGCAGAGGTGGTTGCCAGAAGAAGAGGCTGGTTCCTGTCGTCGAGGGGCGTCCCGTCGAGGAGAGCGACGTATGAAGCTCCCCAGAGGAGAATTGTGACAGCCGAGGACGTTTCATCCTTGTGGACGCGGATGCCATGAATGGGCTGGTCTTCAAACACGCATACCCGATAGATGGGTTCCTCTGTGTCGGTGGGAGGGCCATCATACACTGTCAAATCACCATCCTCGCCGGCCAATATGTACACTTTGCCCGATAGTGTGGTGTGTAAGCCAACGGAAGTGATGGGCACTTGGGAGACCTCCCGTTTGAGCTTGATAGAGCTCTTGGACTGTATCCCGGTCAGTACCAAGTGGAAAGAGGCGTAGGCAATGGCTGGGGGATGGAGGCAAGTACGGTAGCTGGCGCTTGAGCCATTGCGGTCAATTGCGTGAACTAGGAAGCCATAGGAAGCGAATGCAAGTCTAAAT